AGAGAGAGACAGAGAGAGACAGAGAGAGAGAGAGAGGAGGTGGAGATAGGAGGAGCGGGAGGGGAAAGAGGAGAAGGACGGGGCGGTGAAATTCATTTCCTTTCTTCAAATCGCTCTGGTCAGAGTATATAAGTACTAAAAGCTGGGACAACAGTAGGGTATTGGAAGAGACAGACACTCCCACCACCTCTCCACACACACAGGTACATACATACATACATACACACACAGACAAACACACACACACACACACTAATGGAGACAGAGAGAGAGAGAGAGAAAGAGAGAAAAAAAAGAGAGAGAGAGAGAGAGAGAGAGAGAGACAGACAGACACACAGACAGACACACAGACAGAGAGAGAGACCGTACTTTTAATGTTTTCTCGCCATAAACTAGAAGTCACCAACAACAGCTACAGCAGCTACAACAACGACGACAACACCAGCATCAAGCAGTTGCAGCAGCAGCATCTTAATTTGAATTTTTTTTTCTTTTCTTCAACAGCCAAATTCATCGAGTGTGATCAGGATGGGTCCGGGGATCTTAGTGAGTGACTATGTTAACTACCATTTGTGTGGTTTGTTTGATTGTTTGTTTCTTTGTTTCTTTGTCTGTCTGTCTGTACGTCTGGTTGTTTGTTTATCTGTTCTTTCGTTTGTTCGTTTGTTTCTTCTTTTTTTTTTGGGTGCAAATTGACATGTTTAATTGTTACCGAATAATTCACTTACTCATTAATTGTATTTTTTCCGAAACAAAGTTGAGTTTATAAGATTCTTCTTATAGATGTAATCAGTCTTTGGATAACACCACCCGCGTCTGTGAGGGTAGTGCATAGGCACTCTGACGTCGCTGGCAAGATTCCTGTTTGGGGAGAATTTCTTTCAAGTATCTCCCTGTTTCTGCAGGTTCGTTTCGTCCATTTTATCCACGGTTGGCCTTGATAAGCAGGGTTGAAGCAGCCCGCCTCCTGAATGATCTGAATAGTGTCGATGAAGGCTTAGAACCTTTTCAATTACATTGGTTTGCAAGTCTGAAACCCGCCTCCTAAATGATCTAATTTATGTTGATGGTGTAAAACACCAACATGAACAAAAATATTCAAAAACTCCTATATCCCCTCATATATATAGAACACCTACATGCAAAAACACCTACATTAAAACTTAAAAATAAAAAATACCCAAATGAAAAAAATACAATTAAAAAAACACCTCCATGGAAAAAACCCAAGTACATTTTTATAAAAAATCAAAAACACCTACCTGAACCCCCCCCCCCCCCCAAAAAAAAAATAATATTTAAAAAAATAAAAAATTAATAATTAAAAAAAATAAATTATTAACCACCTACCTGAAATAAAAAATAAAAAGCGTCTAAGCTTGTATAAAAAATATAAAAAATCACCTAAAGGAAAAAAACCCAAAAATTAAAACACCCACGGTACTTGAAATAAAAAAGAAAAAGCACCTGCATAAAAAGAACCTCATAGATCTACATGAAAAAAACCACCTTCCTCAAAAATAATAATTCCAAAACACCTACATTAAAACGTATTTTATTGAAAACTGCTGCTTGAAAAATAAATGCAAACACCTACAAAAAAAGTTTTAAAAACATTTTTTTAAATCCTCTAACTCCGTCTGGCGTCCGCAGACTACATGGACGTGAAGTACATGATGGAGAAGCTGGGCCAGGCCAAGACTCACCTGGAGGTGATGAAGATGATCAGAGAGGTGGACACCACCAACTCAGAGGCCATCAACTATACCGATTTTGTCCGCATGATGCTGGGGCCCAAGTCCAGTGTGCTCAAAATGTGAGTGATCAGCCTGTCAGTTTTCGTGAATGAATGAATGAACGAATGAATAAATGAATGAATGAATAAATGAATGAATGAAGGAATGAATGAATGATTTCGTTCATTCATTCATGAATTGATTTATTAAGTCATTCATTTATTCATTCCTTCATTCATTTATTTATTTATCAATTCATTTGTTTAATGAATTTGTTTCACCAATGAATGAATGAATGAATGAATGAATGAATGAAAGAATGAATGAAAGAATGAATGAAAGAATGAATGAATGAATGAATGAATGATTGAATGAATGAATTCATGCATGCATCTATTCCGTCAATCATTCACTTAACTTGTTCATTCATTCATTCTGTCATTCGTTCAACTTGTTCGTTCATGCATTGATTCTTCCTTTCTGTTTCTTTCTTTCTTTCTTTCTTCTTTCTATTTTTTTCTTTCTTTCTTTTTTAAAAGTTCTTTCTTAATTCATTGCGCTCTTCCATTCATTTATATATTCGTTCACTTTTCCCTAATTCTTCTATCTTTTCATTCGTTTATCCATTTTTCAAAAGTCACAAATTTGGTCTTTCATTCGTGTGAATGATGACGTAGAAGATACAAGAGTTTTCCAATGTGTGAACAATCTTGAGCCTGTTTCTTCTGCATCTCTTCATCGCTCATTACGCCAGTCTATTCCTGGCCAAATGGAGACACATTTTCGGGAAGACTGGCCGTAAACTACAACGTAACCCATCGCATCTTTTTTTGTGGTTGTTTTGAGTTTTTAAAAACTTTTTTGTAGGGGGAGA